TATTGTCATGATAGCATCACACAGTTGCTGCAGATTTGCCGGCTGCACATTCATGATGCCAATCTCCCGTTCCACCACATCCCAAAGCTGCTCTCTTGGATTGAGCTCTGGTGACTGTGGAGGCCATTTGAGTACAGTGAACTCATCGTCATGTTCACCAGTCTGAGATGATTGAGCTTTATGACATGCTGCGTTATCCTGCTGGAAGTAGCCATCAGGAGAAACAGGGAAAAGCAGTAACAGTCAGGGTTATCTGCTGTCGTGGCTTTGCAATCAATAAATGTGATTATAATGGAAGTCAATGGGGCACCAACATCAGCAAAGGAGAGTCAGTCTGAGTGTGTTGATGAAAGCATTTCCCCAAAATATGTGTCAAAATAAAATTTGTCAGCAAAAATCATCCCATTTGCTGAAACACAGAGAAAGCCGAGGCTAAACTGAGCCTCCAAATCAGCCCAGAGTGGATGAAAACGACCCAACAGCATGCAAGGGTTAATTCGACCTGCATGTATGCTCAGGGTGTGACATCACTTCCTGCACAGAAGGCCTGTCTCTGTTTGATCTCAGCGGAGTGTATCGCATGTCTGTGTGTTACTGAGCGTTGTGTTACAAGTGAACAGCGAGACGCCGCATCTGTGTGTGAATGCACAAGACGGAGAGTCCCATGCAACTTTAACCCAGACGCATGCATTATTAACACTCGAGCTGCCTGATATGAGCACACACACACACACACACACACACACACACACACACACACACACTTACATCTCTTCTAACCAAAACTCTACATTTTTAGCTTTTCAATATGCTTAATTCTGTTTTATTTATGGGTCGTTTTCCTCATGGGGACCCAGAATATTGACTGGTATTGCTATATTTGTGGGGACGTCGCATAGTTTCTACAATTAAAATTATTTTATGTGATATTTTTACAGAATATTGCTCACAAACAGCCTGAAAATGACAGCCGATTCTGTCTGGCTCTGCTAATGGCTAATAGATTATGTCACACGGTGCCGTCCCCTGTTTGAACTGTGCAGTGTGTGTGTGTGTGTGTGTGTGTGTGTGTGTGTGTGTGTGTGTGTGTGTGTGCTCATTTGTTCCTGTCTGTATTGATGTGTTTACTGTGCAAAAAGAGAGATGGGAAACTTACTCACTTTCTCACACACACACCCCCCACCCCCCCACCTCTCTCTCTCTCACACACACACTCGCGTTAATTTGTCTTGTTAGCAGTGCAGAGGTCAGGTGACCATAATAATGGGGTCAGTGTGAATGCTGGAGCTGTTAATAACATCGCTCTTCTTCATCATCACATGAACATCGGACACTCAGACACCACTCGCTTGTGTGTGTGTGTGTGTGTGTGTGTGTGTGTGTGTGTGTGTGCGTGTATGTGTGTGTGTGGGGCGGATGTTCATCCCGCAGGACACTTTCCACATCAGTTTCTGACATCAAGAGCAAACACAAAGCGCGGAGCATCAGTGTTCTGCTGTGATGCACCCTAAACACAGGCAGTCTTCAGTCAATATGGACACTTTAAAGGGGCCGTTCACACAAAAATCTACTTTTAGTTTACGAGGACAGATAGATGGACAGATAGAAAGACAGACGGATGGATAAATGGATGAATGAATGGATAGATAAACAGATGGATGGATGGATAGACAGATGAATAAATGGATAAATAGATTAAGAGATAGATAGATAGATAGATAGATAGATAGATAGATAGATAGATAGATAGATAGATAGATAGATAGATAGATAGATAGATAGATAGATAGATGGATGGATGGATGGATGGATGGATGGATGGATGGATAGATGGGTGAACGGATAGATAGGTGGATAGACGGGTGGATTGATGGACAGACTGACAGACAGATGGATGGATGAATAGATAGACATGACCACAGTGCAATAGTCTAGAGCTTTTTTACAATGTAGATTCTGTCAAAGCAGCTCAAAGGGACAGGTCACCCCAAAATAAAAATTCTGTCGACATTCTTGAATATATATAATAATTCTTTAATAATAACATCTTTTGTGTTTAACACAGTAAACAAGGTCATGCATCAAAATGAGGCAGAATAATCAGTTTTGGAGGAACTATCCCTTTAACAGATGAAGAAAAGAGAATAAACAGCCAGGGCAGTATTTGAGGAGAACTCTGGTGTCAACTAAAAACAGATTTACCTCCGTCAATCAAAGAAAATGACCCTTAAATGTTGTCTTAAACTAATCTAAGGCATTTCCTCAGTTGTGTCTTATTGCCTGTGTGTCTGTAGTGCGTCTGTTCCTGCACCGGCGGCTCAGGTGGTTCAGCAGGTTCTGGCGACGGTGGAGGCCAATAAAGTGAGTCTGCAGGAGTTGTACATCCGCAAAAACAAACATTAAACTGCCTTCTAACACAATTTAATTTACAGTGGTTCAGTGTAACTGTTGTTTTCATTCACAGACGTCATTTCAGGGGGCGGTAAAAGTCTCCGCTCCGCTGGCCGGTCCTGCGCAGGCCACAGCAGCAAACTTTGTGTTCGGTACGTACAGATTCACACTTAAAACACAGAGTGTAGATGTTAAACAGGCCACAGGGCTTCACTTGCAGTGATTCTGAGTTGTTTTAACTAGCAAATTAGCTGATTTCAATACCATTATTATCTCTTTGTCATGATGTCAGCACATAATATTAGACTAGATATTCTTCAAGACACTAGTGTTCAGCTTAAAGACACATGTAAAGGCTTCACTAGAGTAATTAGGGTAAAGTTAGGGTAATTAGGCAAGTCATTGTATAACAGTGGTTTGTTCTGGAGACAATCCAACACTAATATTGCTGAAGGGGCGAATAATATTGAGCTTAACATGAGTTTAACACTATTAAAAACTGCTTTTATTTCAACCGAAATCAGACTTTCTCCAGAAGAACAAATATTAGAGGAAACACAGTGAGAAATTCCTGACTCTGAATCATTTGGGAAAGATGCATGCAGAACTGTGGCTCTGTGCATTATTATTAACGTGTGCTGATGATTTTTTGCTTCAGGTGGAGCTGCTAAACTCGACGCAGGAGCTGCTTCATCTGTCTGCGAGAAGAACGCAAAGAGCTTTTCCTTTTCTCCTGCGTGAGTCTCTGACATTACTGTTATCATGACCGTTCTTTCAGTGTAGGATGTAGATCTACTGTATATTAATATGTTTATACACCTGTGTGCAGCACTTGAGAGCTCCTGCTGTACTGCATTATGAAGATAATGCCTTTGTTGTTCGCATATGAATGTTTAGAAACAGTTCGATCTGCTTTTCACAGGTCATCTGGGTTCAGTTTCACCTCACCATCACAGGACAACAACAGCACTCAAGGTAGCGGCTCCATATTGTTTTATTTAGAACTGCAAGCTATTCTTTTAACATTACTTTATTCACAGTTTAATAGTGTAATAGATAGAAAACGTTAAATTTTGGGAATATTTTACAGCTCCTCTGGTGTTTATCAGTTCAGTTTTATCATTCTATTCAGCCAATCTCCATATCTGGCAGGAACACTTTTAGCTTAGCATAGATCATTGAATTGGATTAGACCGTTAGCATCTCACTCAAAAAATGACCAGAGTGTCGATAATATTTATATTTAAAGCTCTTCTGTAGTGTACTAAGCCTGACAGAACAGTAAACCATGTACAGAAGAGCTTTAAATGGGAAAATTGTCAACTTTTTTAATTCACTTTATTCACAGTTCAACAGTGTAAAAGTTAGAAAATGTAAAATATGGAATTTTGGGGATATTTATCAGCTCCTCCAGTGTTTATCAGTTCAGTTTTAGCATTATTTTTTTAATCCATTCAGCCGATCTCTGTATCTGACGGGAACATTTTTAGCTTAGCTTAGCATAGGTCATTGAATTGGATTAGACTGTTAGCATCTCACTCAAAAATGACTAAAGAGTTTAGATAATTGTCCTATTTAAAGCTCTTCTGTAGTGTACTAAGCCTGACAGAATAGTAAACCATGTACAGACGAGCTTTAAAGGGGAAAATTGTCAACTTTTATTTTAATTTTTATTTGTAAATTTACTTTATTCATAGTTAAACAGTGTAAAAGTTAGAAAATGTAAAAAATGGAATTGTGGGAATATTTTACAGCTCCTCCAGTGTTAATCAGTTCAGTATTTAATTTTTTTAATCCATTCAGCCGATCTCTGTATCTGGCATGAACACTTTTAGCTTAGCTTAGATCATTGAATCGGATTAGACCGTTAGCATCTCACTCAAAAATGACCAGAGTGTAGATTAATATTCAGAACAGATACAGATACATAACAGAACAGTAAACCATGCACAGAAGGGCTTTAAATCGGAAAATTGTCAACTTTTGAGCAAGATGCTAATGGTCTAATCCGAATCAATGACCTATGCTACGCTAAAAGTGCTTCCGCCTTCAATGAGTTTCTTTCTTCTGTTGAACACAAAACAAGATATTCTGAAGAACACTGGAAAAAGCCGTTATCGACATCCATAGTAGTAACAAAATAAATGTAGAAGTCTGTTTTTTCCAGCTTAAGAGAAGAAAGGAACAAGTGAAAGATGAGTAAATGATGACAGAATATTCATTTTTGGCCAAACTGTGCCTTTATATCAGTCACACAGGGCTATTTTCACCCTCATTTTATTTTCCCACCTGAACCACACACACATTGCGCTCTGTATAAAGGAGGAATATTAGTTTTCGCAGTTTTTAAAGCGCTATGTTTTTGTTTTAATAATTATTTTAATATTTATTTCTGCACTTTGTACACCTTGGCAATACTTGGCAATAAAGCTCTTTCTGTTTCTGATTATGTTACAGCAAAGATCTCTGCTCCACCAGGCAAGTTCTCCTTCGCAGGCAGCACTGGAGCCAAAATGGCGTTCGGCTCTGTAGTGTCCGAGGAGCCATTCTCCTTCTCAAAAGTGTCATCTCCAGCAGCAGCAGCAGCAGCGCCTGTGATCTCCGCTTCTCCTGAACCTCCTAAAGCTGCAAAACCCAGCACTGGAGAAACCCTCGGCAGCTTCTCCGGTTTACGAGTCGGCCAAACCGAAGAACTCAAGGAATCTCCGTCAGGCTTCATCTTTGGGCCTCCAGCAAACGGATCTAAAGGATTCTCCTTCAATCCTGCGCAAATAAACCCAACAGAGTCTGTAACTCCAGCAGAATCCACAGCAGAGCCTGCAAAAACGGCACCGGCTCAAGCATTCGGCTCATCTACATTCGCATTTAAACCAGCAGAAGTCGCATCTCCGTCTGTAAAGCCGACATTCTCCATTCCCACATCTTCATCATCATCATCATTTCCAGCAGCCGCCGCTTCTTCTTTTGGGAGTCTTCTGCGCGCTCCTTTACCAGAAACGGCAACAAATGTTTCTGCAAAGCCAGAAATTGCAACATCTGCTGAGTTAGCTCCATCTGCTGATGATACCCAATCTCCAGCAGAGCCTTGTACTCCTAAACCATTAACCGCAGCTGAATCCACTCCTCCCCCCAGTACTGAAACCCCTATTCCAGCAGAATCCAGCAAACCTCCATCTCCTCCAGCTGCTGTAGTCTCTCCTACACCTCCTCCGTCAGTTTCTCCACCTTCAGAATCCGCTCCGCTAGTCTCCGAACCGCCGTTAGCAGAAACAGTAACGGATACTCCGCCTGAAACCGCTAACACTTCAACATCAGCTCCGGCGTCCACAGAAGCTCCAGCTGCTCCTGCATCTGACAAGCCTGGGTCAATCTTCGCTCCTCCACCAGCTGCTGCAGAGCAAGGTTATTATAATTTTGCTTACTTTAATTATTATTATTTTATATTTTGATACCATTTTAAAACTTTGCAGAAAGCATAGCGCGCATTTTATGTTTTTATGTGCGTAATCATGTGCTAGACTGATGTGTTTTGCTGTAAAGCGCCATCTACTGGTGTTTCTCTAAACAGCCGCAGGTCAGATTTACCACCACAGCATGAGTGCTTATGAATTCAGAAAACTATTATTTTATTTTTATTTTTTAATGGATTTTAATTTCGTTAAGTTGTTGCTTTTGAATTATTGTAGTTTTAATTTTTTTTCTAGTTAACATAAGAGTTTTAGTCTTGGTTTTTGTTTACTAAAATAACCTTGATTTGGTTGTAAAAGCGCCATCTACTGGTGTTTCTCCAAACAGCCGCACGTCAGATTTTACACTACAAAGTCGGTGCTTATAAAATCTGGAAATTATCATTTATATTTGAAAAGTATTAGATTAATTTAGTTCATTTTTCAGTGACTTGTTCATTTGTTTACTTTTTCATCTATTGTTAGTTTTTTTTCCAGTTGAAAATATTTTTGACTAATAGTTTTAGTTTTTGTTTACTAAAATATCCTTGGTTTGGTTGTAAAGGTGCCACCTACTGGTGTTTCTCTAAACAGCCACATGTCAGATGTTACACCCAGAATCGATGCTTGTTTATATATTTATAATATAATAATTTTTATATTAATATATATATATATATATATATATATATATATATATATATATATATATATATATATAAATATATATAAAATATATAAACAAGCACGATTCAGGGCGAGAAGTTTAACATGTATTGTTAAGATACAACTGTAGTTACAGCTATACAAAAAACTTTGTGTACTATGTTTATGAAACTGAAACTCGATTAATATAGATTGTCACGCGCAAATAACTGATATTTGTCTAAAAAAAAACAGGACCTCTTTTAACGCCACAGAATCAGTGCTTATGTATTCTAAAATTGATTCATTGATTGACATTATTTTAGTTAGTTTTTCAGCGACCGTTGTTTATGTCATTTGGTTTTTTCCTTATTTTTTTAATTTACTATTTTATTTCAGGTATCAAAAATGTTTTTTCACTCAAGGCCCGTGCACACTGGGACGCTTTTTGCTCACGTTTTCCGACGACGTGTAACGCCTCGTGACTAAATAAAGGACGCCAATGTGATCGTGCACACTAACATGCAAAACGGCAGACGTAAACGTCATTTTTTTTAAGAAACACCCTATGCTCGTTTTTTTATTTATTTTTATTTTTTTGAGAAGAAGCTTCACGTCAAGGAGTGATTTTGCATCCTCTTCTGCTCGACACCAGTGAAAATCACTTTGGTTTGAATCCGGAAAAACATCTCAAAACGTTGACGATAAACGCAAACAAAAAGCGTCCTGGTGTGTACGACCCTTAATAGATTTACTCTCATTTTTGTTGTCGTTTACTAAAATAACATTAAATTGGTTGTAAAAGCGCCATCTACTGGTGTTTGTTGGCTAGTTTGTTTTTCAGTGACCATTGTAAATTTTATTTTTTATTTATAATTTTAAATCAGTTTGCGAAAATGTTTTTGACCAATAGTGTTAGTTTTCGTTTACTAAAATAGCCTTGCTGTAGACACTGTCATCAATCAGTCTGCATCATCTTCTTCTTCAGTTCCAGCGGTGGTGTCCACAGTATCTCCAACACCAGTGTTTTCTTCTGCACCATCCTCCACCTCAGCGTTCGGATCTTCTGCTTTTGGCTCCAGCTCTGCCTCCTCCGGCTTCGGCAAACCCACTTTCGGCCAGAGTGCTGGTTTTGGGCCTCCGGCTGCATCTGGCTCCGCTAGCGGCTTCAGTTTTGGTCAGCCAGCATTCAGTGCTAGCAGCAGCTCTGGGTTTGGGTCGCCGGCTGCGTCCGCCAGTACTGCGGCCCCCAGCAGTGTTTTCGGGCCCTCCACAGCTAGCAACGCCGGGTCCTTCTCATTCGGGGCCACCGGCTCCGGCTCCACAGCTAGCACCGGCACCGGCCTCTTTGGTCAGAGCAGCACTTCTGGCTTCGGGCAGCCCAGCGCAGGCTTCGGTCAGGGGGCTGTTTTCGGCAGTAACACCACCACTGCGTCTTCTTCTGGATTCAGCTTCGGACAACCGTCAGGTGGGGTTTTATTTAACTTATAAATTTAACTTATTTAGCAGATGTGTTTATACACAGTGAATTACAAACAAACAAACAAGCAAACAAAAAAAAACAGCTTCAAATCAGCCGAGAAAATGATTTCTGTGATTAATTAATTATTAATTAATCTAAAAATTAATTAAATCTCAAGTGCTTTTAACACAATTTTAAATAACTTATTTTATTTAATTATGTTTACTTTTTATTTACTTTTTTTTTTGCATTTGAACACAACAGCAGTCGTCTTCATTTACACTTGTAGCTTGATGCTCATCACTTGAGGAACATTTGATAAGGAATCGATATTGCATAGGAGTGCGAATGATTGTGCGGTGTGAATGGCAGTGAGGGTCTGGAATGTGCAGCCGTCTCGGGTGTGTCTTCACTGCAGGATTTCTCCCATTCCTGAACACACTTTTACATTATAAGCAGCTGATTCAGTGACCTTTGACCCCAGTGACACAGCAGGACGGCCTGTTCTCAGCTGTTTACCGTCCAGAGCCCGGGAAAATGTGCTGATACACGCTTTACACTTCATGATGAGCTGCTGCTGTGGTTTAATGTGGGACTTACAGTCTTAAATATGTAACGTCCAGACGAGTGAGCTGTGAGCTGGTCAGGGGAGACGGCGATTGATCATTTATTAATGATTTGTTTTTATTCACTGGTGTGTTTTGCATGGTTGCAGTGTTGGAGTGCAGAGTTCTGTATGGGTGTGTTGTTCCTGACTGTGTGTGTGTGTGTATTCAGTGATGTTTGACTGTGTGTGTTTGTCGTTCAGGGTTTGGCAGCAGCACCTCCTCTTCCTCCACATCTGTGTTCGGACAGCAGGCCAGTGGAGCAGGAGTCTTCGGTCAGGTACAGTGCCCCCCAACCCCAAAACACACACAAACACACACAAAACACACACAAACACACACAAAACACACACCCTTTAACTTGTTGCATTGAACAGTTTGAGAACTGGACTGAAATGATCACATCTGACTCACTGATTCAAATGATTTGTTTAGAGTGAGTCTCCAGTAAACAACTTAATGATTCAGATGATTCGTTCAGAGTAGGTTTCCAGTAAACAACTCATTAATTCAGATGATCCATTCAGAATAAGTCTTCAGTAAATGAATCACTGATTCAAATGATCCATTCAGAGTAAATTTATAGTAAACAGCTTACTGGTTCAAATGATCCATTTAGAGCGAGTGTCCAGTAATCAACTCACTGATTTAAATGATCCATTCAGTCCAAATCTTCAGTAAATGACTCACTGATTCAAATGATCCATTCAGTCCAAATCTTCAGTAAATGACTCACTGATTCAAATGATCCATTCAGAGTGAATATCCAGTAAACAACTCACTGATTCAAATGATACATTCAGAATGCGTCTCCATTAAATGAATCCCTGATTCAAATAATCCATTTAGAGTGAATCTTCAGATAAACAACTCACTGATTCAAGTGGCCCGTTCAGAGCTATATCTTAAGTAAACTTAGTGATTCAAATGATTTTTTCAGAGGGAGTCTCCAGTAATCAAACCACTGATTCAAATTATTTGTTCAGAGCGAGTCATCAGTAAACAGCTCACTGGTTTAAATGATCCATTTAGAGCGAGTCTCAAGTTAAAGACTCACTGATTCCAAAGATCCATTCAGAGGAAATCTCCAGTAAATGACTCACTGAATCAAATAATCCATTCAGAGTGAATCTCCAGTAAACAACTCACTGATTCAAATGATCCATTCAAAGCGAGTTCCCATTAAACGACTCACTGAATCAAATAATCGGTTCAGAGTGAATCTCCTATAAATGATTAATTGAATCGAAAGTACGGTACCATTATGCGTCTACTAATACAAGAGTTTTTCTCCAAGCCCAGTCAAACACACATGAAGCATTATATCTTATCTAAAAAAAATACTGTATGTGTCTATTATTTATTTATTTATTTATTTAAGACTAGATCCAAAACCCTGCAGGACTGAACCTGTGCACCCCAAGCTAAAAGACTGAACCGAGACCCCCAGAACCAATCAATAGTTCATTTTCACTCATGATTGATCTTTTCAGATAGATCTTTTCAGTTATACACACATTGCAGGTTGTAGTTCTGATGTAAAGTGTGTGTGTGTGTGTGTGTGTGTGTGTGTGTGTGTGTGTGTGATCAGGCTCCTTCAGGTGGTCTGTTCGGCTCAAATGCTGGAAACGCTTCATCAGGATCAGGGTTTTTCAGCGGTCTCGGAGGGAAACCCAGTGAAGACGCTGCTAACAAGAACCCGTTTGGAGCTCCAGCGGCCGCCGGAGGATTCGGGCAGCCCATAAACACAGGTACACACACACACACACACACAGCTGTATTCACTACTCGAATAAATAAACGTCACTGAGATATCCCCACATTTTCTGCAGATTTCATCAATTGGGATAATTAGATGATATTTTGCTGAGTGTGTTCTTGTTCTGGGAACTTAAAAGTCTGTGTGAGATCAAAATGCACAGGTACAATGTTTATCTTGCTAGCACATGTTGGTATTTTTCAGGTGAGTAACCAGTTCAAATTAATCCACATTCAATCTGAGCATCTGCTTCTGTGATTGGCTCCTTCTCTGATGATGTCAGTTTGATGCTTCAGATGCTGTACTCTTAGCCACGCCCCTCATGCAGTTAGTTTGCTATGAGGGAATAGTGCACAAAACAAAGCCCCGCCTTCTACTTAATATTCAACAACAGTTGAAATACATCAACATACTGAAATAAATCTCAGCAACGTCCTGCTCACGCTCCCTTTTAAAGGGATAGTTCACCCAGAAATCAGCACTTACAGGCCGTTGACTTTTTTTTCTTCAGTCGATTCGTATAATGCAAGTCAGTGATCGCTGTGTGTGCGTGCTGCAGGTCCGTCTAACCTGTTCGGCAGCACTGGAGCAAAGGGGTTCAGTTTCGGCAACAGTTCGTTCGGGGAGCAGAAGCCCAGCGGGTCCTTCAGCAGCGGAGGCGGATCTGTGGCCGCACAGGGCTTTGGTTCCTTCTCCACTCCCACTAAACCAGGTCACATACATATACATACACACACACACACACACACACACACACACACACACACACACACACACACACACACACACACACATATATATATATATATATATATATATACACACACACATACATAAATCTCAAGACACACAGGTATAAATGTGCAAACACAAACACACACACTTATATATCACACATATAAATACATGAATACACATACATACACACACACACACGCACATATATATAAATATATACTGTATATACACACACATAAATACGCACACACACATGCATGCACATATACACAGATATACAAATATGCATGCACACATACATACACATACATAAATATATAAACACATATGCGCACACACTTATACACACACATTAATATATAAACACACATACATACACAAACATGCATACACATATACTGTATGTACACACGCACTCAACCCTACACACATCATTAAATACAGTGCAGGATAACACCAGTGAGAATGTGATCATGCCATTGATTTTTATTATCAGTATTAGATTTATATGTATTTTATAATATTACAAATATGAATTTTAGTATTCTCTGTGTTTGGTATTATTATA